GGGTGGCCCCTGCTACCACATGTTCGAGAACGGCATCAAGAAGGATCGCAGCCCAACGCCCAAGACTTTAAACCCTACATCCAAAACTCTCGCACCTTCAGCCCCCAAAACCGTAAAACCCGTCCGCAAAGCCCAAAACTCTGGAAGTCCGAAGCCTTGACCTTCTGCCCCAGCAGCCGCTGTAGTAGGACTGGGGCAGGGGATGGGACTAGGGCTGGGGCTGCGGCTGCGCCTGGGGCTGGACTGGAGTTGGACTGGGAGTTGACTGGGACTGGTGGTGGTAGTAGTAGTAGTAGTAGTAGTAGTAGTAGTAGTAGCAGTAGCAGTAGCAGTAGCAGTAGCAGTAGCAGTAGCAGTAGCAGTAGCAGTAGCAGTAGCAGTAGCAGTAGCAGTAGCAGTAGCAGTAGCAGTAGCAGTAGCAGTAGCAGTAGCAGTAGCAGTAGCAGTAGCAGTAGCAGTAGTAGTAGTAGTAGTAGTAGTAGTAGTAGTAGTAGTAGTAGTAGTAGTAGTAGTAATCGTAATCGTAATAGCAGTAGTAGAGTCGTAGTCGTAGTCTTAGTCGTAGTCGTAGTCGTTGTCGCAGTAGTAGTAGTAGTAGTAGTAGTTGTAGTGGCAATGGTCGCAGTGGTGGCGGTGCTGGTAGTAGTAGGAGTAGTAGTAGTAGTAGTAGTAGTAGTAGTAGTAGTAGTAGTAGTAGTAGTAGTAGTAGTAGTAGTAGTAGTAGTCGTCGTCGTCGTCGGGCAGCAAGAGCAGGAGACCACAACTGCTACACTGCTAGTCTGCCAATGCCATGCTACTGCGGCTGATACTGCCACAAGTAGAACGACAAACACCAGAATTCGGCAGTGCGAGCACCAAAAACCTCGCCTTCAAAATGTTAGCTGTTAGCTGTCAGCACGACAGTAACAGTAGAAGCAACGCGTGCCACAGTATTAACTGTGGGCACACACACACACACGCGCACACACACCCCTCCGCGAAAGGACTACAAGCGGTGGCTGGATGCGTATGCTGGGAATCCAGATTGGGACGCGATCTTCACCCACCACGCCGCTGGCTCTTCCTAGCAAGGTGTAGACCTTAGGCGTAGGGCTGGTAGGCTCTGCTGATGTTCTTGACTTGAGAGGCTTGCTTTCTCTTGGTGTACATTGGGCTCGGGTGTTGTTCAATGGCTGGCGTTGGCTTGTCATTGTCGCTCTTCGAACGGCCGGTGTTTTTCCGAAGTCTACAGCACTTTTGGACTTTGATTTCTCAGCCCTGCAACCGGGCACAACATCAACACTCGAAGCCGAGCCAAGGACGGGCAACAGTTCTACAAGGCCACCCTGGACTACCCTGCCTGTGGCCTTTACAGAGAGCTCATGGAGAAATATCCCAAAGCGAAAGTTCCTGGTCTATGACATCGGATTTTCCAAATCGGGAGATCACCCTAAGCACTAACTGCTAGAAGAGGGGGTCTGGAGGTGCTTCGGAACTTCTGAAGACTGGCACTGAATCGGTGTGTTGGAGCAAAGTTCGTGTCATCGCTCTGAGCTCAGCTTCTGCTTCTCTGCGCCTGCTCAGGTGCTCCTGAATGTCCGGGATCCGGAGAAATGGTACGACAGCGTGATCGACACGATCTGGTCCCTTAGGGGTACTTAGAAATATGATGTTAAATTTCCGGTTGTTATACTCCCTAAGAAATAGCCAAAATTATAATTAATTTTTGCTAGGGTTCTAAGTTTAGTATAGGTCCCCGGAGTGCCCGGAGCAGAACTGGTCGGTGCGGATCTTCCAGGAAGGCCGGGACTTCCAGGCCCAGGCCCGCGCCTTCCACAAGGCAACGATGCTCCCCGGGGTGGAAAGACCCTGGGTTCTCATTAAGGAAGTAAGTTTAAGTTGCCATCATAGGGATCTACCTTCATTATTATGGTTTCCGTATGATAGTAACTTGAGTGAAGTCCCGTAACAAGAGCCCAGGAACGGATCGCGAGGGCTCCATCAAGTCCTTCAAAGCCTGGATCGAGAAGGTGAAGGAGACGGTGCCTCCGGAGAGGTTGCTGGTTTTTGACGTCAAGGAGGGCTGGGAGCCCCTGTGCAAGTTTCTCAATGTGCCTGTGCCGGCCGAGCCTTTCCCTAATGTCAATGACAAGGATGAGATCAAGGCAAGCTTTAGGAAGCTCCTGAGGTTCACATATGCAGCCAATGCATTGCTATTCGCCTGGTGCGTTGGCATGCTATGCCTTTTCGGGTGGGTTGCGCGTAAGTTCATGGCCTAGTTGCGATTCTCGTAAGATCACCTCTGTCAGCGAAACATCGCAAGACCGATCTGCCGGTGGCAGGCTTGTAGAGCCAGCTGCCGGGGGCAACTCTCTGATCGAAAAAGTGTCCCTCCTTGGAGCTTCTCCAAACGAGAATCCTGGAGTCATCGCAATCACAAGACTAGCAATGGTGTTACCATCATCATGATGCCACTGCCGCTACCACTGCCACTACTGCTGCTACCATTACCAAGGCAAGTGCTCTGCGATGTTGGTCCGAGGCACACTGCCTGCTGACACTGTTCATAGAATTTGACGGTCTAAAGACTACGACTAATGCGGATTACAGCCATTATGAATGCACGACAATAGTAGCATCCATCCATTCATGCATCCATCCGTGTATACATTCGTCTATCTCCATGCCCGGTCTTGGCAAAACTCGGTTCTGGTGTGAGATGGAGTCTTTTCCACAAACCCAAGATTCCTTAAGTATAAGGATGCGTCTGCTCATGGGGCCTCCAGGTTAGGTTCTGTTGGTCCAGCATTCTTTTATGCAGGACCCTCGGTTATGTATGATAGTGATTGCGATGGTGATGCTGGGGGTTCCGGTGGTGGTTCTTGTGGTGGTGCTGGCGGTGGCGGTGCTGCTGCTGCTGATGATGATGATGCCGGTGGTGACGAGACTGATGGTGGTGATGACGGGAAGGAAGACATTCTACAGTTTTCGTTACAATCATGAAAGCCATGACCGTTCGTGTCAATTCCATAAGCATTGCTTTTCGTTGCTGACCGGGAGCCAAGAGTCAGCCAGGAGCTGAGCGAGTACGAAAGGCTGGGGTTCCCAAGGAATGAGTTGGATTTGGGAGTCGGCTTTCAGGAGCTTTCGTTTCGCGGCCTAGTCTGAAGCAATGCTGTAGCTACTGATCGTAACCGGCCCAGAGGACACCTGTAAGATTGTGAGAGCTTCACCCCACCGATAGATCAATTTCCATGCCTAAGCTGAAAATTTGTGGCGTGGGCAGTGATCTCAGCAATATAATTATTGCCTTGCTCAGCAGACTGCGTGGTGATGATGTTGTTGTTGTCGTGCCTACTGGAGTAGCAGTGGTGGTGGTGGTGGTGGTGGTGGTGGTAGTCGTAGCATCAGCAGCAGTAGTAGCGATAGTGGCAGTTGTAGCAGTAGTAGCATAGAAGCGGCAGCAGCAGCAGCAGCAGGGTCCTGCCTTATATCCTCGTATGTTCAACAAAAAAAGTGGCGATAAAGCTCCTCCGAAGCTGTTCCTGCGTTCTTCGAGGTCCAAGACAGCTCAGGCCATCCACTCAGCAACCTGCTTGCCTGCCTATGTCCTTACCTACCTACATACCTACGTACCTACGTTTCTTTCCTTGTTTGCCCTTAGAGAAGCTCCAGACGGCTCCACACGGGGAGTCGTGCGTGCTCTCCGCAAAGATTCGTTAGAAGCTTGATCCTAAATTCTGAGTCTAGACTCCTAACCTCAAGCACCACTACAGCATGGGCCCGCACCTGGCTCGGATCAGGTGGTCGAGCTGACCAAGTCGGCAGCTGTCCTTGAGGCGTTCTGCATGGTTTCAGAGCAGAAGCAGATACTCGCTGATGCTTTTCGGGGACTTAGCTTGTGTCACATGGATCTAAAGTGCTAGTAGAGAGGATGTTATGACAAGTGTAGTTCCTGCAGAGCCCTCTTTGTTATAGTGCGACTTACACAGGAAGTAGTTGGCCCTTTCATTCGTCTTGTTTGATGGAAGGCTAGTCAGGCTACGATTTCGGAGCAGTTTCGAGTTCAGGTTTCATCGTTCGGGTGTTCGAGAACTTTCGCTCCAAAGTCGCGAGACCACAAAACCCACCTCCACTTGCCAGAGACCACCAAAAGCCATGATGAGGACAACCGCAAAAATTACATTTGCACTTGAAACAAACTTGAAGTGTCCTGGTGGATTCGTCAGGGCTCGCGGAGAGAAGCTCTAAACCTCAAACGCCGAACGCATCCTCCCTCGGTAGCGACTCTGAACCCCAAGCCCAAACCCGATCACCACCCCACTAAAGGTCCTCAGTCCTAGGCACCGGGTTCAGCCGGTTGTGGCATGCTTCCAGCCCATCAGCAGAGAGAAGGGGCCCAGCAAAAGACCCTTGAGCCCTACACCCTAAAGCCCTACACCCTAAACCTTAAGCCCGCAGCCTTAAATCCTCAATCATGAAACCCTATTAGAGCTAAACCCTTAAACCCTAAGCCCTAAACCCTTAAGCCCTGAACCCTAAACCCCCAGGAGCGCGTTTCGGCCCTGACGAAAGAGCTTCGGGAGCAGGCTGGCAGTCTTTTTCACTGGGTTTGGATTTTTTTCGGGGTGTGGGGGGGATTGGGGGTTTAGGATTTCGGGGGAGCTTTAGGGTTTCCCGGGGGAGCTTTAGGGTTTTGGGTGTTTTCCTGGGCTTCAGGGTTTGGGATAGGGGCTAGGGTTGTAGGACTTGGCGGTTGGGGTGTGCGCGATTCAAGGTTTGGTATGTAGTGTATCTACTGTTTAGAAGTTGAGGTTCCGATAATTCGATGACGGTTGTTTTCGCAGCGTCACAGCGTTCAAATCCCGAAACCCTAAGTCCTGAGAAGGCAAAGGCTCTGAGCCCGCAAAGGTCTGGACTTCCCAGAGCTTTTGAAGCCCCTGCCAACCCCCCATTCTCGGCAGCCAAGCCTGATCGAGTTTTCACAGTCTGGGGCTTTGCGGTTTAAGCGGTTTAGGCACATGGCGTGGAGTTGTTGGATTGTGGACCTTTGCACTTTGCAGGAATCTGCCACCAAGAATGCTCAGCAGGACGCGGAGGCGGGCTGGTCTGAAACGGCGTGTACCCGAAAACCGAATTTCCGTGCCCTAAACCCTAAATCCCTTTTCCCTGAACCGAACACCCTGAATCCTAAAGAGGTTCACGGAAGTTTAAGGTTTCGGGTTCCCAGGTTCGGTGTGGCTCACTTGTATCAAAGGCTTGCTTAATTCAGTTCTGCTTGAGCAGTTCCCTGAAGCTGCTTGTTGCACACTTATCAGAACATATCTCCCTAGAAGAGGTCCCAATGGGAAAGCCCTGAAGCGTTAAAATTACACCGATGCCCTAAAACTCCAGAGCCCTGGACCCAAAGCCCTAATCCCCAAACTCTCAACCTCAAGCGGAAGCCCAAAACCAAAGCCCTCACTTGAGTTTGCTCCAGGGTTTCTAGAGAGCATGCAGCTCGAAGCTTCAGCTTCAAGGAAGCTCAGGGCCTGAACCCTGGGCCTATAACCCCAAACTAGTAGGATTCATATAAGGGACCCTAATAAAGGCCCAAGGTTTCTTAGTCAGGTTCCTACGTTGGACCCCTAGGGCACGCCGCAAGCAGAGAGCTTTCTTCCTGAAGCGGGTGCACCACGAAAGCGGGCTCGTCCATCAAGAAGCTGCTGTGAAGTTCTCTGCTGAGGCTGGTTTTAGGTGAAGTGCAAAAAAATCCAAGAGCATCGCATCACAAACCAAGAGGTTACATCTACAATGCTGAGTATCGCTCAAGTTGAACTGTTCTGGTTTGTGGGGACTTCGCCTTGCAGCTTACTTGATTGACGGTCTGCTACGCGGGAGGGTAGGAGCATTTTTCTGGCATGGAAACAGAGAAAAATCATGTCATACTACAGTCTACCAAGTGCAAACGGCAGGTTCACCACAAGGACTCAACTCCTCGCATCAATGGCAGGAGACGCGACAAGCCCTCGCAAAGTCGAAGGACGAGGTACGCAGTGGCAGACTAGGCCTTGACGGCCTTGAGCGGCCTAGTGGCTCGGACAGAGACATTTCGGTGGCTGTCAAAATGATGGTCCCATTTTTGGGTGCCCTAAATATTAGGGGTCCACTTTTTTTTTTTCCTAGGTCTGGTCCGGTCTGGGGGGCCTTGCTAGGTCTGGTCCCACGGTCCCTTGGTCCCCTGGTCCTTTGGTCCTCTGGTCCTGGTCCCCTGGTCTCATGTGTGAAGATGAAATGCGTGCTTGGTTTACGGACCCCTTCATCGGCTCCGACTTTCGCGATGCAACTGCATGTCTGCAAGCGTCGGAACCTCAGCCGCTATCACCGCTGCTTCCCGAATTTGCTCCAGGTCAGGTGTTCACCTTACAACAGGCTGTCCGATGCTGTTGCAGTGCGGATGGCTACATTCCAGCGCTTGCGCAAGAGGTGTTGTTACAAACATTCAGCCGTGATGAACGCTTCATAGACGTTTTGGACCTCCCGCGCGCGGCCTGCTGCTGTCTTCGCATCTGCCCCAGCCCCATCCAGTGGCGAAGCACTGCCGCTGGTTGCATCACTGCCCGCTCAGCGAAAAGAGCGAGCTGCCCAATATTGGAAAGCAGCTCGAGATGCTGCTGCACACTTTGCGAGAGACTTTTATAACCAGGAAGTTCAAATTGCGCAGCAGTTCTGCCAAGTGCAAGTGCCGCTTGCAGAGCGACTCCTTAACACTTTTCTGACATTGCCACCCACGCCACCCATGCCTGCGCAACACTTCGGGCTTTCGTCGCTTGACTATGAGGAGGAAATCCAACTTCTTCTTGCTCGGTCGCAGGAGCTACATTGGTCTCACGGTGCACTTGAAGATGCCTGCGCTTCCGCCATGGACGTCGTCGGTCTGTGTCCATTCCCATTGGCTGTTGCCAGCATGCTAATAAATGCTGCCGATGTAGCGCCGGAATTTCTAGTTGCCTTTTACTACTCCCTCGCCGGCTGGGTCTGCCACCAAGACTTGCATGCTGTGTTTGACCCGATCAAAAGAGATCGGCGCACCAGGCCGAGATGCATGGTGCAGGGGATTTGCGGTTCATCTGCAGGAAGAAGCCCTTTTTGGCGTACTTTTGTGTCGTCTTGGTTTACTGGTGTGGACGCAGAGAAGTCAGTGCTTCACAGCCATCAAACCCTATGGTCGCAAAGTGGTGGCCGTAAAGGCTTGCATCTAGCGCAGGCGACCGATGCAGATCTTGCTGAACGCATGCGGCACAGCGATGGCAAGCTGTTTTGGGCATCCCCTTAGTGCTGGCTTATGCTGGACACATCGCATGCATCTCGTGGCACAAAACCCAGCAAGGACAAAGTCAACTTCCACTTCCTTCTGGAGTGCCAGAATGGCAATGACTACGGCCCCCGGAGCATCAAGTCAAGCCCAGAACAAATTCACACACCCACCACAAATTTTGGAATGTTGCTCTTGGGCCAAGCAGACACGGTTCATGACTTCTGGCGTCATGTATTCCGGCCAGGTTCGCCAGTTCGAAACAAAGGTTTTGAGGGCAGGCCGCTTTTCGTTTTTGCTGGTGCATCGCGGCTCGTGCATCACGAGCAGTTCATTTCTGCCGAGCTGATCTACGCTTTTGTGAAATGCATTTTGCTAACCATCGCCAGCCACGTCGGGCACTCCACAGAAATTCCCCTCATCGAGCGTCCTTTGCAACCGCACGTTCCAAACCTCTGGCGGCAACTACAAGCCGCTGCGAAAGAAGCAGAGCAAACTGCTCCCAACGCGTGCCAAGTAGCAGCAGCTAAATGGGGCTACACCTGTGGGACACATATTATATCCAATCACATGTTTTCCTGCAGCTTTGCAGCCTTGCCCCGCAATCCGCAACAGCTGCAAGCGTTGCTCACCGGATGCCAGACGCAGCCGCCATCCAATGTGCCAGCGCCAGCAGGCTGTGATTGGTTTTCCCTTCCTGAAGACGCGTTTCTTGCAGCTCCACGGTTGTTGCACCACACCATGTCGAGCCTGCACACCATCTACAACGAAATGCGTCTCCCGCCAGATGCTAGGGCTGGGAGCAAAGCTGTGGAAGCACCCGCCGTAGGGCCAGTGAAGTCAACACTAACGGCACGCGAACTCGTCCTCTCCAAAACGTTGAAGCAGCACAAGCATAAAGCAGCTCTCATTGTCACCGACCTCAAGTCCCACATGAGTTCCAAGCAGCGAAAGCAGGAGGAGTACGAAGCTGTCTTCAAGCTTGCGGCAGATCTTGGAATAGGGCGCATTGAAGGTACCTTTCCCGGAACAAGGGCCGAGCCCTATCGCCTCCAGCTGACGCTGGGACAATTGACGCCGGCAGTTCGCAGGCAGTTGGGCTTAGAGATGGACGTGGGTCAGGCAGCAGACTTGGCCGGGCCTGCTGGCGGCCCTGATGCAGTGGAAATGCGAGGCGCCGGAAAAAGAGCAGCGGCGCAAGCAGAACCCAGCCAAAGACCCGACAAGAGGCTCAGAGTGCCTCGTGCGGTGAGACAAGAAGCTGCTGCGCGGCTGCAAGAGCTGGCCGAGTCTGTGGAGCCTTCTGCTGGTGCTGTGAAGGAAGGTGGCCGTCCTCGAGAAGCAGCAGTTCGCAGACGCCCAGCAGTTGCCCCGCCTCACCCTGCGCAGCCTGCGCAGGCCGAGCAAGCGCCTGCTGCGCCGCCACAGGAGCAGCCGCCGGCGCCTGATGCGAAGGAAACGGCAGAAGAGGTAAAGCGCTGCATCATCAGAAAACAAGAACCAAAGGAAGCCGATATGTCCTTCGCCCAAGAATGGCAAGCTCTCCTCGCGTGGGGACGTGCAAATTTGCCAGCAAGAATCCACGGGCCAGGATTGCGCGCATGTGTTGGCACCAAAAAGTTCAAATCTCGGAGCGCGCGGGCCTTTTGTTTATGTGCGGGAATAGATGCAAAGCGGGTGCCCAAGTGCAAAGTCGTCTACACTGGTTCTTACTGCCGTGACACTAAGTTGTTCACCATCAAGGAGCTTGGCTCCCACCATCGCCCGGCAGAAGATGAACACGCCCAGGAAGCCCCGGCAGGCAAGGCTCAGAGAAAGTGCCGGGCCGGGCGCTCATGCGCGATTTGCCTGAGGTTTACACTGTAACTGTGCAGCAGCAGCCAAAATCCACCATGGCTCTCGTGCAACAAGCGAATAAGTGGTCCCGTGATCCGGACAATTTCAAGAAGGCCGAAGGTGAAAACCCTTTTAAGGTCAGTGTCATGTCCGGCTTCAAATTCCCTGGCAAGAAGATACCTACGTATGTCTTGCTGCAGTGCTCGAGCTGTGCTTCAGTCGATCCACCTTGCTCATGGCGCGGAGTCATTGAGTACTCGCACGACGCACACAAAATTATCATCAAAGCAGAAGGCACGCATGCATCAAAGCAGCGAAAAGCAGGCGGTGTCATGACTGAATCGCAGAGAGCGACGCTGAAAAAAGCTCGTGCCCGATCCGCTCTCGGTCGGCTGGTAGCACTGAACGACGATCCAGACAGTCCGCCTACAAAGCGCCAGGAGAAACAACGCAGAGACAACGAGGCCAGAGCACGCAAGAAGGCGCAGGCAACCGAGGAAGCATTGCCTCGTAAACATACGTCTGAAGACATTCTGGATGCTATGCGTGCAGCAGGTGTGCTCTTTGACGGCCCCTTCCCGCCACCGGACGTCGAGATTGCTGATAACCATGATGTAGGTTTGCATCTGCTTGACAATCCACACCACGTCAAATTGGGGACTGACGCAACATTCAAAGACATCTTTGAAGACTACTGCCTCATTCCGCTTGGCGTGCTTTCCAGACACTATGTCACATCTAGACAGCAAGGCTGCAAAATTAGATCTTGGACTTCCCACTTTTCGCCGGTGCTGTATGCGCTCTCGTCGGCAGATGTACACCAAGTGTACGAGATGCTCTTCCGTGCTATCAGCAATTTGATGCTGGGCACGAACCCCCGCATACTTGTAGGTCCACAGGTGCGCCAAGTGCACGCCGATTGGGCGCCTGCCATCGAGAATGCACGGCGTGCCATTTTCCCTGACAGTGTTCGCGCGTCCGATTTCTTTCACTTATGGACCAACGTGGATGCAAAGCTCGCGATGCTGCCTGCAGGGCAACGTTCCCAAGTGAAGTCGGCATTGTACGTGACCCGCACGCACTGCACAACCCTGAATGAATTCCACCATTTCTGGCTGCTGTTCTTCAGGCGTATGTCGCAGAATAAACGCCAGCAGGGCTGGGACCAACCTGGGCTCGCGTCCTACTTGTGCAAAACATACTTCTTCCACTTGTCTCCCGAAGATGCACGGTCGCAATACCACCTAACAGACCCTATCTTAGCTGAGGACGGGAGTGTCCTTTGTGCCAGTTGGTGGGCATCTTACGTGCGGCTGCAGCCGGGTAGTGCTAGTGGCACGCAGCCTGTGGAGTCAATGCACGCAAACGGAATACGCTCCGCATTGGTGGCTTCGCTTGAACTCCAAGCAAACAGCCAAAAGCCTGCCGAGCTCAGGCACTTGGATCCCCCACGCTTCTTTCCTGCTTTTCAAGCCGCGCTGCAGGCCGAATGCCGACAACTGCACAAGCGAGACCCGCATTCGCTTATCGACCAGCCTGACCGTGAAGACCCCGCCTTGCGCCGCGGGGATTTTCTCGCACGCGTGGGACGGTCCACCGCAACAGAACTGTGGAAGCACAAATCCTACATCCGTCGAGTGCAGCTACAGGCGGGCGTCGAAGCGTATGTCATGCCTCGCACCTTGATCCAATGGCAGACCGACTCTTCCGAGGCCGGTGGTGGTCGGTACGTTTCCTTATCCGAAGAGAAGCTTCGCACCACGCCCTTGGAAGCATTGAGCTGTGCGCAGATGGCCACGGAGCATAATGGAACGGCACTCATGCACCTCTGGCAAAAAGCACGTATCATCACTGGGCGCGTTGCAAACACCTTTGCTTTGGACTTCCAGATGTGGAAA